GTCAAACAACCCGGCCCCAAACCAATGTTATTTCTGTCAACCTGACCCAATTTTTTTTTATTTATTTTGCTTTAAAATATAAACACTTATCAAGAAATGATAGAAATACGATAGAAGTATTAAGAAAAAACTAAACTTTTTTTATTGACATTATCATGGAAAAGAAACATTAATGTGTTCAAAATCATTACTATGTTATTGTATGTAAAAAAAAGAAATGACCAAAAGCACACTAAAGTGTTTCCATGAAACAGTTTTTAAGTAAGATTAATTATAGAGATGCTGCCATCTATCACAGGTATCGCAGGTCACTGCCTCCTGTCTGTCACGCACAATATATCCACAATCAATACAGTTATCAGTCCTGATGACATAAAGTGACACAAAACACTATCAATTTTTCAAAACACTTAGTAATATTCCAATACTTTTTTACACAGTAAATATTCTTTGAAAATAAGTTAATAAAACACGAAACAAATATTAATTATACTGATGAACGTATTCAATAGAAACATTCAAATGAACTGAAAAAAAGATTGTTGGAAAATTAATTTATACAAACCCTTTAACTCGAAATTCAATGCATTTCTTCCTAATTAATTAACACTCACGAAACCTTCTTTAATTTACATCGAATAAAGACATGAAAGATACTACCAACTTTACCTTTTTAACCTGTTTGATTATCACATCTGAAATAATGTTGATGTACATATAAGTGTTGATGATATATAATTATTCATTATCACTATTGCGTTTTAAAACTGTTAAAAGTCTTAATCGGCACAATTAAATTTACTGACATTTTATGCCAGTTCATGTTTTTTTTTACTATTGTTCTTTAGTTAATAATATTTAATTAATAATAACCCATTTTTATTCCATCATACAACAAAATGACCTTAATAGTTTTCTTTGAAAATATATATTTTAGGACCGGAATGACCGATTTTGGGGCCGCACTGACCAATTTTGGGGCCGCATTGACCAATAAAAACACTGTGGGCCGGATTGACCAATTTTGGGGCCGGGTTGACCAATTTTGAGGCCGGGTTGACTTGGGGCCGGGTTAACTTGGGGCCGGGTTGACTGTAATTCCTTTTTCGGTATTAACAACTACATATATTTCTACTGCGTTACTAACGCAGTAAGGGTTATTTATGCAATATTTTGACCACTTTTTTGGTTATTTACAGGGGTTGTAAGTGCCATCAAAATGTGTGAATGGCTTTCTTTTTGGTTACTTCACAATATTAAACAGATACATTTTCAAAATTTTCATGAAAATTAGAATGAATCTGGAGGCGAGCTGCTTTAAACCATCATAATGACTATTTTTGATAGTAAATAAGTTTCTAATAATATACGTCTACAAACTGCAGTTTTATTGTAAAATTCTATTTAATCGCTATAACTCATATTTTTAAAGTCACTTTCGCTCACTTTAGTCAATAAAGTCACTTTTTTCGTATTTTAGGCATACTGCAAAAATTCACCCCCGCAACGGAGGTATGAAAGGTATTACAGCAATACAAAGAAAATATTGCTCTTAGATGATTTCTATAATTTCAAAAATATTACTTTATTCATCACATACTAATGCAAAATTCAAAAAATGCATTACTAATCGTATTTTATTATTATATTTTAAATTTTGCCCGTTGCGGCAAAAATCCTCATTGCGCGAAAATCCGATAATCCAATCATCGTATTAGCGCATTGATTGCTGCCGACAGTCATGTGCACGTGTCATACGTTGTGTCATTTTTTTCCTTTCTCTCAAATAGAAATATCTTGTTTATGCATTATCTAATTAAAGCAGTTTAAAGCAATAAAGTTATATACTTTTCTTTTACTTAATATAGATATTATTTTCATATTATGAATCTACACGTATTTTCAATTATCTTTTATATTGGTAAAAATCATTTCCATATTGATATCTTATTTTCATATAAATATCTTATTGTTTACAGATTTTGATCTCTTTTTCGTATCATTCTGAAACAGATATTATGTTCATACTAATACATTTGTATTATTTTCGTATAGATCTTATTTTCGTAAGGATTTATTTCATGCAAATTTTATATTCACAGATCTTATAAAAATATTTGTAAAAATCTTAGTCGAAAACATAATTTTCATACAGATTATATATATATCTTATTTTGGCATAGATCATATTTTCAATTAGATCTTATTTTCGTACAAATATCAATTCATGTATACAGTACGTACTGTAGGACCACGTACTGTAGGGATTTTAATTGTTTGCAGATCTTATTTTCGTATACACGGGGGAGGAAGTGTTACACGAAGGATGGAGTTCTTATGATAACTTGTTTGGAGTTCTTATGATAACTGTCACGGAGTTCCAGGAAAACGTTACGGATTTCTGTGGAAAACTTTTCTATATACTTGGAGAACTCGCGTAAATAATGGTTATTTTTAACTTTAAATGGGGAGTTTGAGGTGCTAAATTTAACTTTGATAATTAAGCTTGCCCTACATATTGTATTTTGTTTCAGAAAAAATATTTTAGTCCATATTTCGTCGCCTTTTTAAAAAAATCTGGTAGTTTTGAGAAAAATTACCAAATTACTTGCTAATTCGTACATATTGACCTTTTCATTTGTGATCTTCACCGTTGCTATACATAATCACCTAATTATTATGGAGAGTTGCAAACATAAAGCCAAGGCTAATAAATTTATACCCGATTTTTCAAAATGTTACGGAGTTCTTGCGATAACTCAAAATATGCCCTGGAGTTCTTATGATAACTTTTGTTACTGCCAGTATGTTTTTGTGCTTAATCACGGCACGTTTAAGCGTATTTTATTAGTCAATAAGTGTGTAAATCATTATGAAGCATAGTACGCTTATTATTTGCACAAAAATTTGGTTATATAACGTTGGTTTTGATCGTGTTTTTCAGTTCAATAGATATTTTTCTTACCTCCGTTTCTTGTGTTTTTTGTGTTTGTTTTGGTCTTTTTTTGTGTGTGTGTGTGTGTTTTTTTTATTGGAATGACTGTAAACATACTTGATGTAGAGCATTTACTTACAGGATAAAAAGACGCTTTGAATTTAATACTCAAGCATGATTTCGTCATATACTAGTATACATTATTCCTGGCAGTTTTAGAGAACATTTAGAACAATTTCTAAAAGGTATCAGTTTTTTGTCATAGAAACGTATAAAGTCTTCAATAAGATATGTGAGTCACCGTAAGGTTCATGCCGTTTATCGACCCTGTTCCTTTCTCTATTAAATCCAATGTAGCATCACGTGACGTACAACAATCTCCATATTTCGGAAAATTACTGCATACATTTTTCTTTTCAAAGTTGGAGTCCTAGTTGTGGAAATTTTGCAACAACTTTTGCTGTAACTGATTTACAAAAATATATTGTCGAACTTCTTTCGCTCGAACCCGTAGGGCACGTGCAAATCTGTCGAAGAGATCGGTAGTAATCGGTTGATTTTTTATGCATAAAAAGATCATACATTTCGGGCGCATGGGTGTGAAGGGTATCCCGGTTACATACGATACATGGTATAATATGATACAATTTACTTAGCCGCTTTTGAGCCCAACTACTTATTGTCTGCTTTAGAAAGGCGGTTGCTTAAAACATGTAACTGAGAAAAATGGTAAGTTTTAAACAATTTTTCCTTGGCGGTTTAAGCCATGTTACTGCTGAATACAGGTGACCGCTGATTCAGGTTTTCCTGAAGATTTTTGTATGTTTGTTACATTTTACGCCTTTTCCCAACAGTATTTCAGTCATATGGGCGGGTAGTTTCCTAACCATCGTTCCTGGAGAGTTACACCAGTACTAGACTACCTTCCTCCGTGCTAAACTACCAAAGCATCTCCCGGGGATCGAGAGAGGTAACTGGATTAGAAGTCATCGATTCAAACCCCTCGACCACGGAGGCGGTCGTTCCTGAAGATAGCTTAGCACCTGTTTATCCTATATAGACTGTACACCAAAGCAGTTTCATGTCTTCTCCAGATATATTGAATGATCGTGTTTTAATTTTCAATGTTGCATTTGCGGAAACTTATGACATAAAACTTTTGTTGACGAACAGTATACACAGAAACATTTAGTGCATTCGTTGGGTTTTATAATGTCAATATGATTTCGCACAAATTTAATTAGGAACTAAAACACGATCAAAACCAACGTTATATAACCAAATTTTTGTGCAAATGATAAGCTTACTATGCTTCATAATGATTTATACACTTATTGACTAATAAAATACGCTTAAATATGCCGTAAGAAACACACTGGCAGTAACAAAAGTTATCATAAGAACTCCAGGACATATTTTGAGTTATCACAAGAACTCCGTAACATTAGAAAAATCGGGTATACATACATTTATTAGCCCGGGCTTTATGTTTGCAACTCTCCACTATAATTAGGTGATTATGTATAGCAACGAAGAAGATCACAAATGAAAAGGTCAATATGTACGAATTAGCAAATAATTTGGAAATTTTTCTCAAAACTACCAGATTTTTTTTTAAACGGCGACGAAATATGGACTAAAAGATTTTTTCTGAAACATAATTCAATATGTAGGGCAAGCTTAATTATCAAAGTTTAATTTAGCACCTCAAACTCCCCATTTAAAGTTAAAAATAACCATTATTTACGCGAGTTCTCCAAGTATATAGAAAAGTTTTCCACAGAAATCCGTAACGTTTTCCAGGAACTCCGTGACAGTTATCATAAGAACTCCAAACAAGTTATCATAAGAACTCCATCCTTCGTGTTACACTTCCTCCCCCGTGGTATAGATCATCAATTGGATCTTATTTTCGTACATGTAGTAGTAAGATCATTCAATGAATGCATAAGTATATATTTTACATAATTATTTCAACAGATAAATGCATTATTTCAAAAATAACTCTTATTTTCGTAGCCGCGATCTTATTTTCGCGAAAATAACTTATTTTCGGTATCCATCTATACCGCATTTTAGTGGTCCCGGATTGTGATTGTAGGATGGCGGCGCCCGTGAAGATAAGTAGTGTTTTTAGACCAAATTTATTTAAAGGTAAAGTGGCAATTGTCACTGGTGGAGGGACAGGTATTGGTAAAGCAATAACACAAGAGCTTTTATTTTTAGGTAAGTCATTGGATGTGATACCTGTACAGTTGCCCTATGCGCTATTGAAACGGAAATAGGAACCACAGGGGTACAGTAGTCAGTACGGTTCAGTGAATGTTCACAAAATATGTGTTTGATAGCAGAAAACATTTATCCTAAGTCAGGAGAAATGAATTCTGAGTCCATTCCCATTACACTATCGTCTATTATATTAGGCCATCAAACACAGTCATATTTTGTGAACATTCAATGAGCCGTACCCCTGTGGTTATTTTAGTTATTAGTTTATGGCTGCAGGTAAAAACATATACAATATACAAATCCAATTTAAATAAGTGGTACATCAATTTTTTAGAAAGGAACTACTTATTAACTTTTGCTACATAACTACATGTATGCATATGAAACTGGCTCAGTAGATATGTTCTGCTGGTCATAGGAGGCAGACTGTGCGACAGACTGTGAGACAGGGAGGATCGTACAAGCATACATGCCATATTTTCAGCCATCCAGATAGGGGATTTGTCTTTAAAAAGCAGGGGATTTGGATAAAAAATATGGGGATTTTTAAGCAAGCGTAAACCAGTCGTAATTTTTGTATTTTCTGATCGCAGATCAGGAAATACAATACGGACATTCAATCTCGTGCACAGCGCTTCCCGACAAACTTAACAACAAGTAGTTCTCAAAACAGCTTAAAACTAGCGATGTAAAGAAAAGAAATATTTTTATTTTGTTACAAGTATCCAACAAATTACAAGGCATTCAATTACGGCTAAAGAAATTTTCAATGGAAGGAAAATGGAGATGGAACTCTATTTGTACGAGCGTATATATAATAATTAATATCGCTTAAACATCAAATAAACATGTTTCTCAGATGTCAAAGTAAGAAAAGGGCTGTAGCCTACTCAATTGAAAAGTGTGTTACATGAAGTTAAACCTCAAAATATACATAAATGGTATCGGGCCCCACCACACTGCGTTGCAATCCAATCCACCGCCATCATTCACCTGTGTGTATGCCACCGCAGCATCTGCGATGGCATATAACGATTCACCTGTGTGCATTGTGTGTGTGTGCGTTATATAGATTAAATAGTGAAAATCTTCTTGTGAAAAACCACTAGTCCAATTTCAACAAACTTGGCAGGATTGTTCCTTGGGTAAAGTTGTTCAAAGAATTTGATTCTATGCTGAAATCTGGTTGCCATGGCAACCAAAAGGGATGATAAGAATAAATTAAAAGATCTTCTTGTAAAGGCCCACATGGCCTAGAGCTTAAATAATATTTTACATTTATATATAAGGTATTGTCTGGTAGACCTCTACCAAGATTGTTCAAATTATAGCTCCGGAGTCAAAATTAGCCCTGCCCCGGGGTCATTGATTTTCACTATGTACATATTGTAAAAACTTAAAAAATCCTCTTGTGTGAAGGTACAAGGCTTAGAGCTTTGATATTTGTTATATTATATCATCTATAGGTCCTCTATGAAAGTTGTTCCAATTTTGCTTCTTGTGTCAAAATTGGCCCTGCCCCGAGGTGTCATAGATTTTCCATTTCAATATATAGTAAAATCTTAAAAAATCTTCTTCTCTGAATTGACAACGGCTAGAAGTTAGATATTTGGCATGAAACATTGTGTATTGGACTGCTACCAAAGATTGTTCAAATTATAGCCCTTAGGTCAAGATTGGCCCCATCCTAGGTGTCATTGATTTTCACTAATAGTCTATGTACATATAGTAAAAACTTAAAAAAAAAATCGTCTTGTCCGCTGGTACAAGGCATTTGATATATGATATCATCTATACGTCCTCTACCAAAGTTGTACAAATTTTGCCTCTAGTGTCAAAATTGGCCAAAATCTTAAAAAATCTTCTCTGAATTGACAAAGGCTAGAGGTTGAAATTTGTCATGAAACATTGTATAGTGGACCTTTACCAAGATTTTTCAACTTTATTATAGCCCTCGGGGGTCAAAATTGGCCCTGCCCCGGGATCATTGATTTTTATATACATATAGTAAAAACTTAAAAAATCTTTTTGTGTGAAAGGAAACAACTTACATTGGAATGTCTAATACATGTCATGCAATTTTTATGTAAAATATTCAATAGCTTGGAGTAAGCCAAAAGGTCATGATTTTCAGAGATATTTATGAAATGATTTAGGTCATGAACTCTAGCAAAACAGTTGTGAGCTTAAATTGTAGAGATATTAAATGAAACAATTTGAGCACATTATAAGGACATTATGATTCACACCATGTTTATAATAATGATTATGTTTTTTAGAAATTGGTTATGCTCAATTTAAAAGATGGTATTTAACCCTTTTCCTCATATATACGCGAAATAACACACTTTCGCCCCCCCCCCTTCTTTTAGGCCTCAAATAGTGAAAAAATGTCCTGTTTGGGCCCCAAACACATCTTTTCTTTGAGAAAATTTTGGACTTGTGAGAGGCTAAAATGACCCCAGGTCTGTTCATAAGGTAATGTGTAATCAACCCTGAAAAGCCTTTGACTCTAACTGAATTCATTGAGAAGTTGCAGCACTTTTAAATTAATTTCGATGGAAAAAATCAACACAAAATGGTGATTTTTGGCAATTTTAAGATGTCCCCTCGTTGCCATGGTGACAGGAAATTTAAGACTGAGCATGTTGTTACAATGGCAATGGTCCAGTCAACATTTGTAACAAGTTTGATTAGTATTGAAGAAGTTTTTATAGTTTTATAGCAATTTTAACTTGTAATGGGAGACTTTTCAATGAAAACAGACATTTTTCACAAAATGCTCATGCAGTAATTTCAAAATTTAATACAACTATGTTATACAGTTAATACCTATTTTTTGTCAATAAAAAATTCTTTTATTTTTAAATCAATTACAGTTAAACTTTGTTCGCTCGAACTCGGATCGCTCGAATACCTCCCTTCGCTCGAACTTATCGCACAGTCCCGGGAAAATTCCTATATAATATATATTGTTCTACCTCGGATCACTCAAACACACCATCACTCGAACTATCAAACCTGATCTCTGGTCCCTTTGGCAGAAATATAGTGTAAATCACACCTTTTCGGTTGAACACATACAGACAACAGATGTTGCAGGTCGATATGTTCTAAATAATTGACAGTAGGTGACACATGTTTTTAACACCTCGTGACAAAGACAATTAAGGTTAATGATACAAAATAAAAGGTGTTGTAACCGATTTGTTTGTTATGATACAATTGTTTATTTGCCGTCTTTAGTTACGATAAAAGGAAAATAACTCCTGAAATGAGCAAAAGTCAATAATTAATGACGTTTACCCGGACGGCTTTAATTACAACTGTGGTTCATGTAACTTGAATTGTAACAGTGTAATCTATTTATAGAATGATACTTGTACGTGTGTTTATTTTAGTAAATGACTACAAATAGATGCTGTTGTAATATGTTGTTTTTTTTAAATATTTTATTAATTCATTGTTTAAAGTAAAATTCATTCCATAATAAACATATAAATATATTTTGAACATTGTTCACAGATTGGATAATGATCGTCCGATCGAACTCAACCACTTACAATATGCATGAATATAGATTAACACAGTGTACCGTTTATACTGTTTTCAATATGATAATAATTCTTAATATGACGTATTCAACAAACGGATGTACTAACAAACAATTTCATTGACGTATTTATCATTTGACCGATGTAAGCTGGACAACCTTTAGGCCTATGTTCTATGTAATAATAGTTCAACCTCGGTTGGCTCGAACTACCGATCTCTCGAACAAATTTGCACAGGCAAAACCTCCGAATTCGAGCGAACAAAGTTCGACTGTATTGCACTATGGCCTTTGTATCTTAACATTAGACACGTCTGCAGATGCAGGTTATTTTAACAACAGGCAATAATAATTTCCCAAATTTCCAAAATACATGTATGGTTATTTTGTGAAAGTATCATTCATACAATGTGATGCCGTTGTATTATGGGATTGTTTTGTCCAAATTTGTATATGTTTTAACCAAAATTAGGCAAAAGTGGCGTCCCCTCGTCAAATGTACAGAAGTGTTTGCATAAACGGCAATGTGTGTAATAAGTTGAAAGAGTACATATCCTTTCGACGGCCATCCGCTATACCCGTAGGACGGCCATTTCTGAAAGCCAGTCTTATATTACGACAGACGTCCATAGCGTAGTTGAACGTATCAAAAATATACCTTTCTAAAAACCACAGCGTAAATCAGCGTAAAACGTGAAATTTGTTTCATGCAACCCCGTAAAAACCTCGTTTTCGTACATTCTGGTTTTTATCTCACCTGAGCATGCTCAGGGTGAGCTTTTAGGATCGATGATTGTCCGTCGTCCGTTCACATTTAGTTGTTAACACTCTAGCAGTCACATTTTTGCCTCAATCATCATCAAACTTGGTTAGGATGCTTATCTAGTTGATAGCTCGGATGAGTTCGAACATAGGTCATCTCGGATGAAAAACTAGGTCACAAGAGCTAAAAATAGAAAAACCTTGTTAACACTCTAGAGGTCACATTTTTGCCTCAATCATCATCAAACTTGGTCAGGATGTTTGTCTAGGTGATAGCTCGGATGAGTTCAAACATGGGTCATCTCGGATGAAAAAGTAGGTCACCGGAGCTAAAAATAGAAAAACCTTGTTAACACTCTAGCGGTCACATTTTTGCATCAATCATCATCAAACTTGGTCAGGATGTTTATCTAGTTGATAGCTCGGATGAGTTCCAACATGGGTTATCTTGGATGAAAAAGTAGGTCACCGGAGCTAAAAATAGAAAAACCTTGTTAACACTCTAGCGGTCACAATTTTCATCAATCATCATCAAACTTGGTCAAGATGCCTGTCTAGTTGATAGCTCGGATGAGTTCGAACATGGGTCATCTCGGATGAAAAAGTAGGTCACCGGAGCTAAAAATAGAAAAACTTTGTTAACACTCTAGCGGTCACATTTTTGCATCAATCATCATCAAAC